GATCCTGTACTTACTTCATACTGAAGGATGAGATAGCCGGAAAATTTTTGTTTCCTTTTTTCTCTCCCTTCTCTACTTTCGACCTAGATTTTTTTCATTCCAACATGTTTATATTGTACATCGGCATAACAGATGTATCCCGAAGTGCTTGCTATTATTTATTATTCAGCAAAGTCATTGTAAAATGCTAAACATATATATTAACATATGTTTTACTGAAGAAGAAAACAGTGTGTTGTGGAGGAACTGTGTGTGGAATAGAAACCAATGGAAAGAAGACGAGAAAATGCGTTATTACCCGCCATTTTGCATGTAAACTCCAATTTTATTTTCCCTGACCTGGTAACGGAGACTACCCTAATATCTACTTTCGTTTCTATTCAAAGTCCATTTGCAATTGATATTTAAAAATACATTAAATGCAATCTATTTTATTCTCTTTTTTCAATGTTTACTATTTGTGTGACCAAAATGTTGAAACAAACCTTTTACTGGCATGCTTGTATCACATGTATTTGATGATGGCATCAAATAACTCTACAAAAATAAAATTTTAGAACAATTTCTACAAATGAACAAGTATTGGGGAAATATCCCCACAAAGTTGATAACAAAACGAATATCAATAGACTTTGGACATTTACCCAATAAGATGATAACCAACAATAAAATCAAAAGAATGGGGAAATTTCCCAAAAAAGATGATAGCCAAAATAAAATAAAAAGACTGGGGAATCGTAATATATTTCCCAAAAAAGATAACCAACAAGAAATCAATAGACTTGGGAAATTTCCCCCAAAAGATCATATAACCAACAAAAAATCAATTGACTGGGGAAATCTCCCCATAATGATGATAACTAACAAGAAATCATTAGACTATGGTAATTTCCTAAAAAGATGATAACCATCAACAAACCAATAGACTGGGGAAATTTCCCCTAAAAGATGATAGCGAAAAAGAAATCAATAGAATGGGGAAGTTTCCCCCAAAAAGATGGTAACCAACAAGAAATCATTAGACAAGGGAATTTTCCCAAAAAGGATGATAACCAACCAAGAAATCAATAGACTGGGGAAATTTCCCCAACAAGATAACACAATAGTAATCAGTAGGGTGAGGAATTGTCCCCACAGAGATGATAACCAAAATATTTCATAGGCTTGTTGAAAATCCAAATGCATTGCACAACTACAACAGTGATACATATGTCGTCTTACAGATACAGTAAGCAGAGAAAATGGGGAACATTCTCATAAGCAAATAACACAATTATTGGGAAACATTGACTGAGAATACAACAAATATCGCAGAAAAAGATGATGCAGTTCACGAAATTGGGCAATTTCCTCACAAAATCTTGTTTAACGTAATAATGTATATCGGGGCCTTTTGTAGTCGACTATACGGTATGGTTTTTCTAATGTTGAAGGCCGTACTGTTGCCTATAAGTCCTTAAATCCGCTTCCTTTATAAACGTTGATGGATAGTTGTCTCATTGTCAATCATACCAGATTTCCTCATAATATATAGCTACGAGTTAACTCATATGTATGAAATTCCCCGCCTGTTTGAAAAATTGTACACGTTCATGGAGACCATGGCAAACAATTGACATATATGAAGAGAGTTGACATTTTTGTATACTATGGTATTAATTTCAACCGTTTAAGATTTACAGCATATATTATAAAGCAAACATAAATCAAACCAATTAAAACAGACTTAAACATGGTAAATAGAAAATAAGTTCTTTCAGATTTTTTGGTGTCCTCATTCAACAACAATAGATCATGTCTTTGAGTTGGAGTCATTTTTTCCTTTCCTGTAAATATATCATGCCTTAAGTTAGCGTCTTCTTTTCCTTTCCTGTAAATATATAAATTGGTGATACAAAAGATTGCTTCATGTATCAGACAGTGTGACGTTACGCTATTATGACGTATTTATAAATAACACTACTAATTTTACGCGGTTAAGCCCCAGTTACACTAGACCACGATCGCATTACGCTCACCGCGATCTAAAATAAATTCAGATCGTGGTGAGGTTGCGGTATGAGCGGCATGAAAATGTTAATTTTCGTTTCTTTCACGTTGCTATTACCTCCTCATTACGCTTCTACAACGATCCCGCTACGATTATACCACGTTCTCACCACGCTTATCTGCGACCTCACTACGATTATCCCGATCTTTCTGCGCTCATCACGTCCTCACGACCATACCACGATTTATCCGATTGCAACACGATCTTAGCACGCTTCTTCTGCGATTATAGGACGCTCTCACCACGACCATACTACGATCATACCACGTTCATACCGTGATCTTACTACGCTCTCAGTAATAACATCAACATCGAGTTCGATATAGATACTGTTCCATTTCTTCTATTTCTCACTGATACGTAGAGTTTCAAAAAATCTACCAGAACTCGTGGGCGTGGTGGTAGGGGTAGATGTAGAAGCAGAGGGAGATCTGATAGTAAAGAATCATGATCCAGTAGAGATATGGGGCAATATGCGCAATTGTTTCTACATAGGCGGTAATGGTAACGTTTTCTTCTCTAGCTCAATCCATATCGTAAACTTGGATATGTATGATGGCTCGTTTCGAAGCTGAGACATTTTCACATATGTGGTTAAATTTTCGGGGTACGAAGTGTGAATCATATTTCCGTAAATTAGCATACCCCGAAAATCCTTTCGTGATGCAGCTCCTCATGGTAAAAAATCCCTTTTTTCACACAATAATTTCTTTGAAAATTTTATACTTTGAATACATTTAATAACTCAACAGTTTTTACATATTTATTCTATGGTCCTCTACTTTCCAGATCAACACAAATGGTTAGGCTCAGTCACCTGCTAAAAATTGAAACATGTCCAATATCACTACACAGAGATTTGTTGTTTACACGCAACTTTTGTGTTCCTCAATTGGAGGAGCATTAGGGATATTGACCAATATTGAAATTCATAGTTCTGATTTTTCCAAATATTCTTTTGTCATCTTCATTTGTATGACTTTCTGAATAAATCTGTGTATTTTTGTCCATTTCTGAAAAAAATAAAGTTGTTTCAGCACTATAAGACAATGACCCTTTTATCGCCAATAATTCCCAAATCTACAGTTAACTATTTGGTTATAATCTTTGTGAAGAAATTTCCTTAGTCTAAATATTTCTTTTTGGTTATCACCTGTTTTGGGAAATTTCCCCATTCTATTGATATCGCTATCGTTGCAATATTTTGAGGGAAATTTCTCAGTCTATTTATTTATTTTTGGTTATTAAAATTTTTGTGATTTTGCTTTCGTTATCATTTTTTTGGGGGAATTTCCCCAGTCTTTTGATTTCTTTTTGGTTATCAACTTGGTGGGGAAATTTCCCCATTTTAGTGATTTCGTTTTCGTTATCATCTTTTTGGGGAAATTTCCCCATTCTATTGATTTCTTGTTGGTTATCATTTTTTTGGGGAGATTTCCCCATTCTATTGACTTCTTTTTGGTTATCGTCTTTTTTGGGGAAATTTCCACATTTTATTGATTTCTTTTAAGTTTTCATCTTTTTGGGGAAATTTCCCCAGTCTATTGGTTTGTTGATGGTTATCATCTTTTTAGGGAAATTTCCCTATTCTATTGATTTCCTGTTGGTCATCATCTTTTTGGGGAAATTTCCCAAATTATTGATATCTGATTGGTTATCATCTTTATGGGGAAATTTCCCCAAATTGAATACTTTTTAACAGTTATTTCTACGTTTCTTGTACATGTAAAGTAAAACGTGTTTATTTCTTGAGATTGTTCTCCAAGTTTTGTTGTGTAGTGTTATTTGATATCATCATCAAATATGTGTGATTAAATCATGGCAGTTAAATTTTTGTTGGAATATTTTGTTCACACAAATAGAAAACATTGAAAAAAGAAAATCAAATACAAATTCTCTTTTTCAAATAGATTGCGTTATTACCTTACAAATACACTTTAACTTTATTTTAGTGATATAAAAGACATTTATAACCTGAACTTCCTGCGTTGAGATTATAAACAAATTGATTTTGAAATAGATTACACACTAAACATTTTGACTTTCTAAAGTAATATAATATATTTCAGTTATAGATTTAACTTTTTTTTAAATAAGTCTTTTTTACGAAACTATTGTACTTATTTTCTTATTTTATCTTTCCTTTAAAAGGAATTTATTAACGGTTCCTCTTCATATAACATTTTCTTATTATCAAAAGATTTCAAGCAACTCATTCGATATTGTTGTTACATATGTTTTTTTAGGGAGACAGGTTCAGTATAATAAAGACTGTTGTAAAAGAGGGACGAAAGATACCAGAGGGACAGTCAAACTCATAGATCGAAAACAAACTGACAACGCCATGGCCAAAAATAAAAAGACAAACAGACAAATAATAGTAAAGATGACACAACATAGAAAACTAAAGACTAGGCAACACGAACCCCACCAAAAACTGGGGGTGATCTCAGGTGCTCCGGAAGGGTAAGCAGATCCTGCTCCACATGTAGCACCCGTCATGTTGCTTATGTTATTACAAATCCGGTAAAAGAATCGGTGATGAAACAAAAACCAATAGATTGAAGTGAAAATAATGTGTTATTGAAGTATTAGCTGCCATTTTTGTTGTAAACGCTAGTTTTATTTACACGGATCCATTTACGGGGACCTCCCAAAAAAGTACTTTCATTTCTATTGATAGTTCATATGCAATTGATATTTAAAAATGAATTACCTGGTGAATACACTTTTAATTTAAATTTAGTGTATAAAAGACATGTACATCCTGAACTTCCTGCGTTGGGATTATAAAAAAAAATGATCTTGAAATTGATTTCACACTAAACATATGACTTTCTTAAGTAATAATCTAATTTTAATTATAGATTGATCATTTTTAAATACGTTTTTCTTACAAAAATATTGTACTTATTTTTTTATTTTTTCTTTCCTTTAAGGTGACTTCCGATACTAAGGGAGATAACAACGTTTTACTGATGTAAAACTGGTTCCCTGTTTTAATCTAAGGATATATCGCCTATATATATGGGTCACGGATTCAGTTCCGTTGTCGTCTGTTGATAACGTGTGTAAACAATTACAGCTGATCGCACGGATGAGAGGAAGGTTTATCAAAAAGGTTAAATTCATGCGTTCGTTTAAAATGAAGAATATGAATAGCTTCAGCCTGAAAGTTCACACAGTCTTAAATGATTTTCAACTTATAAGATCATATGATATAAGTTTTTGTGAGTTGGAGAAATTCGGCGTCCGATCACAGTGACCTTTCGTTTGACGAAACCTGGAAAGAAGGTCGACGGCTAGCTCTGGTTCACAACCTAGCACAGAATCTGTTCGTTAGGATGTGTGACTGTCCCCTGCGGATACTGTCGGCAAACGGAAATACGACCTTGGAGGTGGAGGCAGTGGAGCATTTTGTCCATACCATGCTACCTTGTAGTAGCTGCAGTGCATGTAACCTGCATATCATGCATATGTTACAGCGTAGAAACGAGGAAAAGAAATGGGACTGGTGAATTTGTTATCAATTCAAAAGCTGCACTTGGTAAGAGATTTAAATTTTCTCTCTAGATTCTCTTACACATTTCACTGGGTGGAGAAGGTGTATGGTTTCATGTCTTGTTTAAATGAACCTGCTCCACACCTCTCTTTTTCTTTCTTGAATTCCCCTCTATTATGGTCTGGGGTTTGTGTGGTTTGAGGGTAAAAAGCATAATTTTGAGTGGAAGTGCTGCCCAAATATTTTAGGAAGCTGGACTTTAGTATTTTTTCTGGAATTTTGCCCCTGGAAGTTATTCAATTTATTATTTTTGCAATGAACAGAAAGACAACAGCATAAGGGGCTTTTTAGTTTTACATCCAAAAGGGGAGGATTATTTTGTAAATAATTATTTGGTAGCAATTTATCATAAATGAAATTAGAATTGAAAAAGAAAACAAATACAGTCACAATGATTCATTCACAGAAATAATGTTTTACAAACTTGAAATATTAGTTGTCTTTATCTTATAATCAGAATTTTCATATTAATCATCTTTTGCATGTGATCATAGACCAAGTGGTCTGATACCTTAGAGATTTAGTCATTTAAAAACACAAATAGAATGATGTGTAGAATGCAGGATAATACATGAAGGGAAAAAAGAAAATAAGGAAGGGGCATGCATGCCACACCCACCCTCACTCCACATAATTAGAAATTTATATGAGTCTGTGATCTATAAGAATAAAGGCAAATATGAATTTACAATCATATTATATAAATATAAATTAAAAAAAACAATTGTATATTCCAAATAAAATTATGAACTCAAAAGTCTAAATAGTTTATCTAATTAACCAATGCGAAGACTGACATTTCATATCATATTTTTCAGGAATGATACATGCAGGAATTAGTGCCACACATTTTAACATTTTCTTAATGGATTGAATGTACTTTCTGTGAATCCATCCACCATACAGAAAAAGAAGAATGAAACCGGAAAGAAAATATTTGCAGTTGCAATAGAATCCTGTAAATTAAATCAGGAGATGAAACAGTTTTAAACATGGTTAATATTATGAGTAATTGGAAGGTAATTAAATCTTTAGTTAAATAATTTCAAAGTATTTTTTTGATAATGTACCAAAGCAGATATAAAGTATAATGAGGACCATAATTATATTCATATTTGCCCTAGTAGTCATAAAAATGAATTAACAGATCTTGATAATAATTTCATGTTTATGGTCTATATTTCAAATTAATTTTTTGGTAAAGCAGTGTTATATATACTTGAAGACTTTGATGTATAGATCATGACAGAATTTGTTTCAACAAAAATATTGAACTAGAATTAGTTACATTGGTATTTATTAATTTAAATCTATATTTATGGATAATTTCAACAAATTTAATGAACCCAATTTGGTTTTGAAAGCCTTTATACATTATTTTTACAAATTTCATTGTTGATAGCCTGAGTTTCCGGTTAATTTTAAATGTAATATGTTTTAGCTATAGCATTTGAACACTGCATGTACTTTCATTAATATATGTTGTTCTACTTTTTTTTCATTAGGTTGAAGCCAGTTTTGTTGCAGAATGGCAAATGTTTGGTACTGGTTGGAACTATGAAAGTAATACAGGTAAATTTAAAGGATTAAGGCTTTAACTTTATTAATAGAAAAGAAATGCCCAAATGTCAAGGTCAAAGTGGACCTTGTAGATTCTAAACACCCTTGTGAAATCTTAAGAAGCAACAGTCTTCTATGGTGAGAGGATGCCGTACTTTGCAATGCTCATGTTATTATATGGAATATGATTTTTTTTTCAGTTTGTGAGTGAATTTATAGTTAATTTAATTTTTAAAAAAATGGCTCGTTTACCATTATTTTTATTATTTTGTTATTGAACAACCGAAGTTGATAACAAGTAATATAAAAGTCTCACTCATTATGAATCCTATAATTATATAAATTTACTCTCAATACGATTTTTATTATCTTTCTTATCAATTGTAGGTCTTAGGGTGGATCATCATCCTTTTAAAGAACAACAGGCTATTAGCAGCAGTTTTACAGAAAAATGAAGGATATAAATGGCTGTCAATGGTAAATACATACATTTTAGGATAATTACATGGATTTACCTTTGAGAAAAATACTTGAGGTTTCATTTGATACTTTTTAATCTGATAATGGTGTTTTGCTGGCATAAACATTTCTTTTTAGACAATAGATTTAGTAGATTTTAGTTCATATCTCATCAACTATAAATTGTAGGATCATGTAAACTTGTACAAAGATGACATACATTTGCCACTTCACTGACTTTGGTAATGTTAAACATCCAATTTCATATCTCAGCAACCATATTCAAAGGTGTCAGATCATGCAAACTTATATACACAGATGACTCTCAGAGTCTCAGTTAGTAACTCAGCTTCCAGGCAAAAGAAGGTCACAGTGATCCACATTTTACACTATTGATTTGTACTTTATTTTATTATTTAATAAATATAAAGTATATTATAAAGACTGCCACTGGTTCCTATGTGCCACAATGAAGCTAACTATGTGATGTAGATTACTTATGTTTATCACAAACTTGGTCACATGTTGTATATGTAAATGTATACCAAAAAGAACAGTTCAACTGTATTGATTTAAGATAAATGGTCAAGGTGACATCTATCAAATATATACCTTGAATTTGCATTTGTATTGGACACTGTAATGCTCCCTATATTGTCACTTATATTTCATTCCAAATTGCCATTGTACATTAAAAAAACACTAAAAAGGATGTACATCATATGCAGAAGCAATATAAAATTGCATACCCATCAGGTGACCTAATTATTGCAATCACTTCAAAAACCTGGCCATATATCACATTATGATGTTAAACGCTTAATGAGTACCTTTGTTAGTCAGGTATATAATCTTTTTAAATTGATGTTTTAATACATGATTGGATTAATTTTGCACTATAATATTATATATTACACCTTTTCATTACAGATAAATAAATTAAACTTTCAGGTAAATGCAACATCAGAACGTTCCCCCGGCAAATTTACTCTGAAAGTTTGGGAAAGTATGAATTAGAAATTGGAGAGGCAAAGAGATAACCAGAAAACAATGAATTTAAAAGAGAAGAATTGAAATAAAAAGAATAGAAAGAAGGCCCCATGTAGTTCAAATGTTAAAGAAGAAACAACATATGAAATAGAAACTGAAGTAAACGACACTGCTTTAGTGCTTGTGACATTCAGCAAATTCCTTCTCATATTCTTTATAATATATATATATATATATATATAGATCAATGTGTAAAATTTGATTTTCAAACAAGACGTCTTTTAAGAAATAGTGACATCACTCAGGTAGCCGCTGTCAGTGGATCAAACCTATTCCAGAGATGTAATATGCCAAGATGTGACATTTCAAATGAAGCGAGCAAAATAACTGGTATTTTCTTTTCGTAATGCTACTTATAGTAATATGATATATCTGAATGGGAGCAACCTGTACTATTCAATATGGATCGAAGGATTGACAATTTTGACAGGGAACAAAATGAACTCTAATTATGCTATGACTATCAATCAGTATTTGACTGAATCAGAGGAGTAAACTATATACATATTTTTAAATATAACAGTCTATATCTTTGCTTAATTATTGAGGCATTAAAAATAAAGAAAGTTGAAAAACCTTTGAAAAAGTTATAATTTCATCATTTTTTGCTTATGTTACTATGACAACTGAAAATATATAATGTATTATTATTATTATGCTTCATCAAACTTACATCATTAATTGAGGACAGGGTGACAAAGTCTTGACATTTTTTTAATCCATTTACTTGCATGACTGGTATCTATGAATCGATAATTGAAAGAAAAAAATATATGGTGATTTTCGCTAACTGCTGAGTAATTTGTTTTGCTCGTTTTAGACCACAGTAATGCTTATATAAGCTGCATTATCATAATATTTGTTTACATTTACATAGAAGCCATGTGTTGTAGCTCTGAAATCATGGTATTTGATCTCTTTTTGTCTGTTTGGTAGCTACTCTTGCACATCAGAACAATGCAAAACTTGAATTTTCCAATTTCTTGTCCTGTTGCCATGGTAACCGTTGTTTGTAGAAACAAAAATTGCTTTCATTTGATTGTCTTGTGAAACTGTATTAATCTGTGTAAGTTTAACAAAGGATATGACAACATGTGTCACACTTTGTACACACAATTTTGAGAGATATACAAAGAACTGCTGTTGATAACTGTGTCGTTGGGGGTCATCAAAACGTTTTTAGGTAAAATAATGGTCTGGTGACCCATATTTTTCTTTTTATTTATTAAAAGCTCATTGTTTTGACCATCTTATTTCAAATTAAAAAAATTTTCATTTGACCATTTTTTGGGAAGTTTAAGAAAAATAGAATTTTTTAACAAAATCTGTGTTTTTTGTGTGCAGCAGTGTTGATGAAATTTGAGCCGAAATTAATAAATATGAATAAAACTGCCATTATTTGTGTTGTATTTACATTCTTAATGTTAATTTTGTAATAAATGAAGAACAAACCTTTCAAAATACTTTCAAAGGCTTGAAAAAAATCCAGAGTTTCTACATCAGGTATGTATTTATGCATACACGTGATGTACCAACTTTGGTGACCGTTACCATGGAAACGAGTCTGGTGACATACTATTTTTACCTTAAATTTTTATAGAGGCCATTGCATTTTATATGTATGCAAATTTTAAGAAAAATTCAATGGTGAAAAAAAAATTGCTATATCTGTAGGGATCCACCTTAAAAGGGATTTATTATGGTTCTTCATCATAGGATATTTTCTTATTTCAAAAAGGTTTCAACCAACAGATTCGATATTATTGTTTCTATAAAATGTCAAGGTCACACACAAACACATCAGAAATCCAATAATTAAAAAGAAAACCAAAAAAACAAAACAAAAACGATTGAAACAAAAAAACCATAGTTGAACCGAAAAACTTAGGTAAAAAGTAGAATCACAAAACTACTGAACTCCAAGGAAAATTCAAAATGGAAAGTCCCTAATCAAATGGCAAAATCAAAAGCTCAAACACATCAAACGAATGGATAACAAATGTCATATTCCTGACTTGGTACAGGCATTTTCTTCTGTAGAAAATAGTGGATTGAACCTTGTTTTATAGCTAGCTAAACCTCTCACTTGTATGACAGTCGCATCAAATTCCATTATATTGACAACGATGCGTAAACAAAACACACAGACAATATAGATAAAAATGTCAAAAATTCATCAGTCAACACTGTGTTATAATCTTATTCACTAAAAATTCATACAAATATGTAACAAAACAGCACAAAATGGCATATATGTGTAAAATAAGTATTTTTATCGAAATTATTGTACTTAATTTCGTATTCTTTTTTTCCTTTAAAAGACATTTGTTAAAAGTTCTTCATCATAGGATATTTTCTTATTCCAAAGGGTTTCAAAGCAACATTCTCGATATTGTTGTTACATATGTTGTATTGGGGGAAAATGTATACTATATTAAAGTTTGTTGTAAAGGAACCGTAAACGATGCGTAAACAAAACAAACAGCCAATATAGATAAAAATGTCAAAAATTCATTAGTCGACATTGTATTATAATCTTATTTACTAAAAATACATACAAATATGTAACAAAACAGCACAAAATGGCATATATGTGTAAAATAAGTATTTTTGACGAAATTATTGTACTTAATTTCGTATTCTTTTTTTCCTTTAAAAGACATTTGTTAAAAGTTCTTCATCATAGGATATTTTCTTATTCCAAAGGGTTTCAAAGCAACATTCTCGATATTGTTGTTACACATGTTGTATTGGGGGAAAATGTATACTATATTAAAGTTTGTTGTAAAGGAATCGTAGATGAAACAGAAACCAATAGAATGAAGTGAAGAAAATGTGTTATTGAATAATTATTACCTGCCATTTTGGTTGAAATATCAATTTCAAGATAATTTTTTCCTATAATCCCAACGCAAGAAGTTCCGAATCTACATATCTTTTATATCAACAAATTTGAAGGTAAGCCATTTGCACATGATTTTTAAAGTTTTTTTTCTTATATCAAATGTATTATGCTGTAACACTATTGTCCGAGTTTAGTGTGGTAGGGCGCTTACAATGTTTTATTCCTGACACTCTTCACATGTACGTACATGTTACAAATCAAGAGCCTTTTATTCAGTGATTCACGTTGGTTCATGCCTGTAATTATATATTATATGTTTTTCTCGTAAATTATTTTGTATGAATCATTTCATTAGTTTCCTAGTTTGATTTACTACAGATTTTTCATATCGGGTCTTTCATATGTTTTCTTAAAATCCCCTGTACCAAGTCACGAATATTGCAGTTGTCATCTAATAGTTTGTTTGTATGTACGTTGGCATTTGTTTTTATTGCACTTCAGTGTTCCTGTTCATGCTTTTGTTACTTTGTTTTCTTCTTATAGTTGATGTGTTTCCCTCGGTTTTAGTTTGTAAACCATATTTGTTTTCTCTCAGTCGATTTTTGACTTTTGACCACCGGCACTGCATGAAAAGTCATCTTTTGGTCAACTTTCGTACAGCACAAAATATTATTAACAGATTATTCGTATCCTAAGATCTTATTTTGTTACCTTTTGTCATAGGAAAGGCAACCTTCAGCCTTTTGTTTTGAAAAAGGTGAATAAAAGATGAGATGTGACATTGTGTTCCTTTTGAAAGGTGGACCACATATCGTCTGTGATATTTCGTTCATATTGAAAGGTTGACGACAGACCATATGACATTTTGTTCTTACAGAAAGGTTTATGACAGATCATCATTGGCATTTGTCCATATGGAAAGCTGAACGACAGATCAAGAGAGACATTTTGTTCATACTAAAAGGTGAAATACAGGTCATCCGTGATACTTCGTTCATACTGAAAAGTGAACAAAGGGTTATTTAGAACATTTTGTTTAAAGTATTACCATATTAGGTCACTGGTGTACTGTGTAAATATTTATATCTTACCAACTATCTGTTATTTGTGGAAAAAAGTATTAATCACTTCGAGTATTTAACATATGAAGCTTATATCAGGAAACGTCAAATACTAATACTTGTGTACAGTGTATTAAATATACACTGTGGAGAGCATGTGACATCACACTACCAATGGAATTCTATGAACTCTATAGAAGGAGTGGTGTAACTATATGACACTGCATGGCCTTCTACAAAGAGCAAAACCCATATCAAGCTTTTGATTGCCCTGGCATGACAAAATGAGAAAAAAATCCAAGATAGAAGAAAACCAAAGGCCTGATCAATTTTAATTCCAATTTAGCAATAGTAATTGAGCTAATATCATGAATTTCAATATCTCACTGTTCAGCTTTAATAGCGGCTTCAATAATTTTAAACATAGATCTTATAAATGAAACTAACTGAATGATAACAAAAACCAACACATTATTTAATGTTATATAAAATTTATTTATCATACAAAAGTTTGCATATTAAGAACATATTGGTATTAAAGAACACAAAATTAATTGAACAAAAAACCTCCATATCAGATATTCTACATTGTTTTAGACAGCTTGCTAAACAAAATTTATGGTGTCTTATTATTGTGTGAAGTGTTAAATTAACCAAATAAATCTTCAAAAGTAATAACAAGCAAGAAATATTAATTACATTCATAAAATTTAATATAATAGTGAACAGCAAAAATATATTAATGTATAGCAAATGTGCACTTACACTTTTGCAGCATAAGTATGTAAAACAAATTATCCTAGATTCATTTTGTCTTGATAAAATCTACTCAATTCAAAAAATCATTTAAATATATAAATAATGTTTTTTTTAGACTTTTTTTTCTGATAATATTATAAGTACTATATATACCATGGTTCTTACGAGTTAACATATTTAAACAAACGAATCCGAAGGATGAGTTTGTTTAAATATGTTAATGAGTAAAACACATGGTATATATAATTTGTAATATAAATAAAATGGTTGACAGCTTGAACTAATGTTAGAAATTGATCACGTTACCGTTTTATCCAATGAGATGGAATGCTCGCGGAAGTAAGTTTTGCGCCCCGTGTATGATCGAATGCACGAGCCTCAATGCACAGGTAATTTCATTATGCCATCAGAAAGTTAAAAAAAACATGTCGGATTCCAGCAAATACGATTAAATAATTATTCTGATGACGGTAAGGTTTTATTTTTGGTTTTAAAGATATCTTACAAATCAATTATATTTTACAGGTTGTTCATCTCATTGAAAACATGCATATTCATATATATTTAAAGTTTTCTTAGGCGGATTTAGAGGAAGCAGTCCCCCCCCCCCCCCCCCTTGTGGGAAAATTTTGGTTGGTTATATAGGGAATCAATGAAGTGTGACGGGAGCGGGCCCCCTCTTAGGAAGTCAGTGGGCCCCCACTTATAAAAATTCTGGATCCGCCACTGGTTTTCGTACAAACTGCTTTACATTGTTTTTTTATTAATTCGATATATACATTTTCTATTAAAACACAGTTTTAATGAAAAAACACTTAACAGTGGGGGATCAAAGGAGCAAAGATAATGTACGTCTCCCTATTAAATCGCAAAACAATCTTGTATTTTTACAAATTGAATAAATTTTATGAAATAAATAAATCGTTCAAAAATGTTTTGTTTCTTGATCCACGCGACGATATTTAT